CTGAGATGTTTTTGACTTGAATCAGAACTGATAACATCACCTTTTCTATATTTTCTGCTTGGTTTGCTTAAAGCTCTGACCAATTTTTGACCACTAAAGTGCTTATAAATAAAAGTCAGCAGCATTCACAAGTTTATTATAGTCAAAACGTCTCAAACTCCTTGTAAATCAACACCTGGGTTAGGATCCCCCATCAGGGAGCTTTCATATGTCCAAGAAGCTCTGCACACCTGAAAGTCAATGTTTTTTGTTAAGTTGACTTTATTTGAACTGGTTAGCTTTAGTTTTTCTACACAACCTAATATAACTTACCTGCATCCTGGTGTTCTCATCTTCTGGGGTTTGTGTCTGAAGTTAAAATGCCTGTCGTCATTTGCATAAATATGGAAAATGAGCTCAGAGCTTCATTTAGGCTGAAGTAGCTATTCATTCAACTTTTATTTATATACATATAGTTTGGTTCCCATTGAGCCTCAAGGATTCATTTACAAACGAGACCTGTTTCAGAAAGATGAAAGTAGATAAGGAAAAGAGAAACTCGAGGGGAGGTAAAAAAAAAAAAATGAATCGTATCTCACACTATGTCCTGGCCGGAGCACAGTGTGAAAGTTGCTAAAAAAATACTTCTCACATACACAGCAACGTACTAATAACATCATAATACATTTATGCATGACGAGGCCAACAACGATGGTGAGTTGTCCGTGGACACTGCCAGAAAGTTCCATATTCCTGATAAGAGATGGCACAGTGTCTATCAGCCGGCTCAGCTCTGATACAGGTCCACAGATGTCCTTGGGAAGGGGTGGTTGGGGGAGACATAGCAGAGCTTCTTGTTCACATATCCTCCAGGAGAAATTTTAGATAATTGGCCTATTCAAGGCCAAGCGGGGATGCCAGATATCTGAGGGGTATCTGAGGCAGGCTTGAAACACAAGAGTCAGGGTGGCTTCTGGGTAATACCAGATGGCTAGGCCTCAGACTGACGAAGCCTCTTGGACGAGGGGCGAAACGTTTCTTTTTAACAAAAAAAACGAAGTCCAGATGACATGATTCAACCTTTTTTGTTGTTATATACCTGGATGACTGAGAAAACAAACTTTGTGTATCTGTTCTTCCTTTGTTCCTTCCTTAGGACAGAGTTTATTGCAGCTCCTCAGACTGAAGTATTTTGGGCAAAAGACAAAACTTTTCAACTAAGACTTTGTCCAGAGGACCTGTTAGATTTATCAACCTGGATTATTGAGCATGAATCAGGATATTTGTTTTTTTCAGTTCTTTTGTCACAAGTTAAATGAAGGGGTTTCAACTCGTTCCTTCTTTTCTTTTATGTAGACATTTTCTCCGTGCCAAAGGTGATTTGAATGAGGTTTTTATTTTGGACACATCTAATTTAGACCCTGAAGTGTTGCATTCCTTCAAAGATCAGCACTAACCATTTTCAAATGTTGTAAATTTGCATGTCAAAGTGGCAATGAGGAAACACTGTATTTGTCTTGGAGAACTTTGGGTTAATCACTTTGTCATCTCAGGAAAAGTCACTTGTCATAGTGCTTTAGTTCAAAATAATTAATCTTAGTTGGTAATTTCACTGCCAAAGGGTACATCCAAGTCCTAATGGAGCTGCAACTGCTCAAAGAAAATAATTCCTTGTGGAAAGAAAAGTGTTTTTTTTTTGTTATGAAAAATTAATGGACTCCAACTGTGATTCCAACACAAAAAGCACCAAAGAATGAAGCTGAGATAAAACATGATAAATGTTAACAAGCTAACCAGTTCTCAGCATGAGCAGAATGGTTAAAAATTAAATAGAAAATTATTGTTATTCAGATGTTTGAACTCCAAATTTACACATATGAAAAACCAAATAAAATTGATCAATTTAGTGGTCCTCTGAACTGAAATGGGGTTTTTAAATTTTTATTGTGTCCTGCTTTTTAACACTTTTGTATTCCTCTACCTGCTGAATTATACAGAGAAAATATGGAGAGAAAACAGGTAAAAATAAAGGGCAAGAACAGATGAAGATTCAAGGGTCGTGGAGTGAGTGGGACAGAGAGAGGCCAGAATAACATATTAGCTAAAAAGCAAATGGGTGTCCTTTAAAAAAAAAACAAAAAAACCCAACTCTTCTTTCAGCCATTGACTTCCTTTTTCTATCCTTTTTTTTATCTTTTTTATTTTTTAAACCCAACACAGGTTGTGTTCATGTTCATTTTCCAACAAAATAAAATCACTGTATAACAAGAGGGATATAAAGTAGGTTACAAAATGCCTTCAAGGCCACATCAAAAAGCCTTTATACAAAGACTGGCTGCTACAAAAGAGAGATAATCTGACAGTAGTTTTATAAAAGAAACTTGACAGATTTGACACCAGATTTAAAGAAGGCTTTTGACAATGCTCAGAAGGTTAGATTGAAACCACGGCGCAACCTTGTTTCATTTCTAAGACAAACTCCTCTCTTTTGTTTTCAGTCACCCTGTAACCAGAACAAAAGATGGCATTTCATGTTTCTGGACGCTACAGATGTGTGTCCTGTCAACATTTCCTTGTCACACATTGACAGTCTTGTCAGCAAAATGCAGGATAGCGTTACACTCCTCAGCTGGATGTTTTCTGTTTCCTTACATAGTTGGAGTTTTGGTGCCCAGGCTGAACCAAAAGACATTTTCTTGTTATTTCTCAAAGAAAAAAATATCCTTAAATTAAGATTAAAGAAACAAGCCTACTGAGTGAGCATTTTTTAAAGGATCACATCCTTTAATTTTGTGTATTTCTTTATCCAGGACTTAATTTGTAAACTGGTCAATGCAGGAACATGAATAGCGGGCGGGCCAGTTGGGGAGGGGGGAGGGGGGGGGGAGTCTGGGGGTCCTCCCTCTGAAAATTTTGAATAAAGTTGATGTGATTTCCTGCATTTTGGTGTATTTTAATGGGTTGTTAAACATCTACATTGACCTAAATTTGTAAACACTCAGCTTCTGTCAAGCATCCTTCACTCCACTCCCCCTTCTACGTACCGTTACTAATGGAAAAGCCTTGGAACCGGGCTGAGTCAGGTCCAGTCGGGCCGTACCGTTACTAATGGAAAAGGAGTATTACTTGACGGTTCCTAGCCGGCTCTTCTCCGCTGAATTCATTGTCCAACTCCACGTGTGAAACCTCCAGGTGCCTCCCCCGTCTGTTAATGGCCACTGCCTGTGGGCTCCTGGCAGTGTTGCCAGACCTGGCTATAGAAACTAGCAACCAGCTCTATGAAAACAAACCCAAAAAAAGCCCAACTGGCAACCCACCACATTGTGTAAAACAGAGCCTGTTTCTAAACAGTATAAACATACATTTATTATGGTGTTACACAAAAACAACAGCTAAATTTTGGTAAGCATTTTGAATAACATACTTTATACTGAAAATCGTATTTTTGCTACGTATTTTAAAAAAAAAAACATCCTGACATCTGCGTGTGAGTGGAGCCCCCCTAGTGGTCAGCCACAGTATGAGTGTTTGTTTGGGTGTGCACCTGTCGCCTTGTCAACTTGGGCGGGGGGGATAAACAAGAAACGGGGGCGTTGAAGGGACAAACTACCTACTACCACTCTTCTTTTGCTTTATTGTGTGGAGCTGGGAGATAATCAACTAGGTTCACTCAGAAAGAAAGTCAAGCCCAAATAAGCAACTTCACGTTCAAAACAAGCCCAAAAAACCGCAACCTGCGACTCACAAGATTTACAAGCGACTTTAAAAAAAAAAACAAGCCCAAAGTCGCTTATAACAAGCGGACTTGGCAACACTGGTTCCTGCCCATGTACGACTGCCTGTTAGCTCGGCTCTCAACCCCACCACTCTTAGGGGCAGAGATTTTTTTAAGGGTAGAGGTGGAAAGGGCTGTTCGTATGTGATATTAAGAAGTCATAAATGGCTGATGTCATTATTGTCATTATTTTCAGTTTACATATCAAATATAAGTTTTATTTGTTCAAGGCTGTCATATTTGTTCATAACTTTATTATTGGTAAATTAAAAAAACGTTCAATACAAAAATGTTATTATTGGTAAGCCTGAGAGTTACCAGATCCAAGCAAACAGTTACCGGAATGCACCCTGTCAAAATAAGCGTTTTCCCGGATCCTGTTCCGTCATAATACGGTTCAAATTGAACACTGTCTTTATCCTATTTTAAGTATCCTTTTTCTTTCTTTTCTGCTAGGACTGCTGTCTCAAAGTGCTCTGCAGCTTAACAGTCAGGATGCCTATGCTGTGGCTGGTTACCACAGTAGTCAAGGGTTGGCACTTGGGGAAACTGTTTCAGGCCGTGGCGGTCAGTTTGGAGGGGCTGTTCACAGCTACAACCAGGTGTGTGTTTCATTTTCTCATTTGCTACTTTCCTTCACCACTCTCTTTTTATCTTATTTTCCAGTCCTCTACTCTCGCTCTTTGTTCTCTTATCATTCGCTCATGAACCCCGCCCTCATTTACATTTCCTTCCTCCTCCTGACCCTGTTTTTCCCCCCTCACCTGTCATGTTTTTCCTCTCTCGTGTCCACCCTCACTAGGTGACATCCAGCCGTGCAGCTGCCCAGTTAGTGAGCACAGACCCTCCCTCACAGTCCCAGCGAGACTCATTTGCCCAGCAGACCCTTGGCAGCACCTTACACATGTCCAATGAGGGCGGCTCTGCGCTTGCTGGACCTTCCATGTATTACTCCTGCGCCACTTTGCCTGCACAGGTACAAAACC